CTGTAATGCCGTTTTTTTCTTCTTTCTCTCCCTCCCTGATAACAGTAACTTCAGAGGAGCAGGTGGTTGAGAAAGAGAGAAAAATACTTTATTATTTAGGTTACATGATTGGTAAAAAGTAAGTTAAGAAGGATCCTCAAAGTGTCAGGTCAGAATTAGAAAGATGTTAGATATGTGCAGTTTTAAAGAGATTTTAATCAAAGTCCATCAGAGGGATAATTAGATAGAAGGCAAGGCAAGAAGGTTTAAGCATGTAGGAGGAGTATGTGTAGAAAGCTTAAGGAAGGTATAATTTATTTACACAGTGTGAATGGAGGGTTTGAGAGTAAAAAGGTTTTGAAACTTTTGGAGAATTGTTAGGAAAAAAAAATTCTTTCTTCCTCTCTCTCTTAACATTCCAACCTTGGCCAAGTTGTTAAATGTAGAAGAGAGAGAGAGAGATGGAGGGTGAATCTTTTTCCCTCAGATCATAAAGAGAGGTAGTACTTAATCTTTTCTGCCTCCCATAGAAGAGAAAAGATTTTGTGTACTGGAATACAGCCAAAAGGTAATTTAATTCATTCTGGTAATATTTCAAATGAAATGTGATGCTCTTAATTTAATGCTTAAGTCTGAAATTGTTATAGTGTTTGGAAGTAAGTAAATTGGGAAAATGTATGGATCTGAAATTTGCTAACTGGGTGACATTAAGAAAGTTGCCTCCATTTATCTCACATGACTGGAAGGTGCCTAATACAATTCCTGGTAGAGGGCAGACACTATAAATGTTAACTACTGTTATTAGTTCCTTAATTAGATGTGACCAGTATGCAATGTCAACGGTGAAGGGGATGCCTGATTTTCTTTGTAAGGAAATTTGGAAATGCATTCAACAGAATTGGAGTCATCAGATTGGTAATGTGTTTGCTTTAAGTTTTAAACACCTAGTATTGTTCCAAATTGGTAAACTTTTGTATTGTTTCGTCAAGCAGTTTTTCATAATTTGGATGTTATTAAAGTGTAAACTTAAAGAAACTACAGTGGGAAAACTGCAAAACCAGTTAGATTTCTTTGTCAGCCCTGCTAACCCTTTCCTATAATGTTTTATAACTGTCATTTAGTAAACTAGGCATTTTCACCTTTACCTGTAATTAAAGAAGGGCTTATAGCTAAAACAATTTGACTATCACTTATGAAAATTGTAAGATTGTTAACTAAGTTATTTGAAGTTACAGATTTAATGTTAAAACCTAGAATTGTTAATTGATTACTATGTGAAAAGGAGGGAATTGGGTAAAAGCCTTATCCAGATTGATTCTGTCCATTCAAAAGAGTCCTCCTTGGGATAAAGAAGTTGGCAGCAGGGGCACCAGGATTAGCCCCTCCCTGGGGTATAAGGCAATTCCCCTTATTTTGTAAACTTGCCCTGGTCCCTGGAAAAAATCTATGTGGGCAATGTCATCTGCTTCCTGAACAATGAACTTGGCTTGCTGAGAAGTTGCAAGTTTATGTACAGTAGATGGAAATGATTTCTAATGATTGGCTTTTATGCCAGGACAATTTTAAATTTGAGAAAGATGTTAAGTTTAAATCTCTTATGTATGTGAGTCCTGGTAAATATTGCTCATTGCAACTCCATGGGAGTAAAATTAACTGTATCTGGCTTTAAGCTGTGATTAGTGAAACTTGCTGTTTGAGGTAAAAGGCTCTTGGGACTATAACTAATTTTGTTTTCAATTTGAATTTGGGTATAGTTGTCTGCATTAAATCAGTATCAGAAATGTCACAAACTACTCAGAACAGGTGGATGTCTGCATCTGAGAAAAAGCTGTGAGGACAATCTTAGCCTCAATCTAGGATGGGATCCTCCTGGCTCAATTTCCCCATTATGTTCCTTTGAGAAGGAATGTTTCCCACCTGACTATTCCTGAGTCTGCCTATGATGTGGAATTGATACTGCATGATTGGAGAACTGTGATTGTTATCTGAATTCAAACAGAGCTAAGGATATTCTATCCTGAGATATTTGGATGTCACATGCCCCTGCCTTTTCCTTTTATGGTAGATTTCTCTGATCAGAGCAAGTGGTCAGTAAAAGACATCAGCACAACATAAATATGTGAGATCTTGCTGTTTTGATCTGAATTTGTAGTCATCCCATGGCCTAAGTATAAAATTAGTGTTTGAATTTATTACATGTAAAAGATTCAATTTCTGAAGTATAATTAGAGAAGGATAAACAAGTTTATGGAACAAGATTGTATATCTATTCAGTTGTGAGGTTAAAGTTAGGAACCTCTTTTGTTTAAGGCAGTTTTTGCAAGAGCCCCCCCTTCCCAATGTAACCACCTCAGAGGTCTTTGCCACCCCTTTTGTACTGGCCACTCCTTTATGGGAAAATTTTTCTATCTCAACATCCTGTTTCTCAACAGGGAATTATTCCTTTGCTTGGGAGACAAGTTCTATGGCCACTATACATGTAAAGACCTTTGCCAGGGGAGGGATTATAAATGTCTCTGCTAGTCTCTTGACTTGCACCACCTGTAATGATGCCTACAGTGATGTGTCCCCAGAACTTTACCTCTGCCAGCTGTACCACCTGTTCTGAGGGAACACTCTCTACTTGCACCTATGACCAAATTCCTCCCGTCATTCTCCTAGTAGGTATTTCCTATTTAACCTTCTCTTCCCAGTTGACACACAATATTACTGCCCCCTTCTAGCTATAACACTCTTATTGATCTTTTGAAAGTTTCTCTCTTACCTGTAATATTGGCATGTAATCATACTGATCCGTGGGGGCATCCATGCTCAGTATCTTTTACAAACAGGCCCCATCTGTACCCCTAAAGAATACTCCTTCCTTTGTGGGATGTGTGGGCCAGGTGGTGAGGATTCTGGGGAATAAGTAAAGCAAAATGCCACTACTTGGCAGGACCCCAGGACTGTTGTTCTGGCCACCTGGTGTTTAACACCTTATAAGGATTTTGGTGTGTGCTCCCTTGGATTTTTGGCACCATCTCTGACCATTTTCAATATTATTAAACCCAGCATCTCCACCCTAACAAGAGTAAAGTGTGGGTTCTGGGACAATGTTCTCTGGTACCTTAAAAGGGAGCAGAGTGTCTCATGCCTTAGTATGGACATTTATAACATAAGTTCATTCTTTCAAACCTGACAGGGACCATTCAACAATTGGCAAATGACACAGCTTATAGTCTCTGGGACATTCAGCAACCTCTGAATTCCCTGGCAAATGTGGTCCTGGATAATCAGATAGCTTTGGATTATCTACTTGCTTAGTGGAGGTGTCTGTGCCCTGGTCAACACCTCCTGCTGTATGTATATTAACAACTCTCAATAGGTGGAGCTCAATAGGACTAGAGAAAGTCACCTAGGATGTGAGACATCCATAAAACCTTATACACCAGTACATCCTCTTCTTGGGGATCCTGGCTTCTTTCTATGTAACCTATTCTTGTCACTCCTGATTATATTCCTTTTACTTCTTTTTGGCCTTGTGTGCTTAATCTCCTTGCCAGATTTGTCTCCTCTAGGCTTAGTGCCCTCCACTTCTAGATGACTGCTCAGGCTGGGTACCAACATCTGTCTGAGACCACAACCCATTAGCCCTTGGACCTGGCATCGGCCAAGTTCCAGACACTGGCTAGAGAACCTACTCCTTGACCAGAGGGACCCCTGGAAGCAGGGACAGCTCTATGCCCAATCCCAGCAGGAAGCAGTTTCAGAAGCTGAGACCTTCGTCCCTTACCCCAAAAGATTTTGGGTCCCATCTGTTTAAGGGGGAAACAGTGGGGTGCTTGGGTGCTTGTACTTGGACCCCAATTTCTCCCTAACCTCAGAAACACTGTCCCTGACAGTTTCTCCCCAGCCCAAGGACCCTGTGCTTAGCAATTACTCATGAGTGGGCCCCAGCAAGACCCTTATCTCTCTCCTGGTGCAGTTCCAAACAGCACCTGAAGGATTTATTAGTTTAAACTGCTTTGCACTGGGTCATAAAGACTTCTTACCCACTACTATACTATCCTACTGCCCTACCTCATTATCTACATCCTGGGCTCCTCATTAACTTATTCTAGACTTAAGACATATGTATACTCTGTACATCTATCTTGTCAAAGAAGACATTGATTGGTGGCAGACTGGACAACTCTCAGTTACCCTGAACTCTAGTTGACTTAGTGATGTAGCAGGCCTAAAACCACACCTCCGTGTGGCCCCCCTTGTGGGCTTTTCCTAGTGAACTCTGGGTAAAATGCTTGCACAGTAGGTAGAAGAAGTGCATGTTCTTTTAAGAACTGACCACTCCTTAACCACTCCCTAATCCCACCCTGAATCCCTAGTTAGCATATTTGGCACATTTTATTGTATTTTATCCTATATAAACTTTAACTGTACCTTCTAAGATTGCAGGATCTTTAAGAATCCTTGCCTGCTGAAAAGTAACAATAAACTTTGCTACCTTGGCTTAAAGAATGCTTGAGTCTGTGAATTCATTCCAGATGACCCATGTACTTCAGTCTTTGATGGGTCACAACCTCTCAACCTCCCAGCCCGCAACAGGCAACGTCAAAAACATCATGAAAATGTAAGTGGGATGAGAACTTGAGAAAATGCAGTTGCCATGGCAACTGTCTCTGTGACTATTTGGCGGATTATAGGAATACAGCCTGATAATTGTTCTTTAAGATGTGCTCTGATTGCTTCAGGAGGTCTGATAACTGTTTTAGACAGTGGTGGCAATTGGCCTTTAGAGGCAATTGAGGGAGAGATGGGGGGCAGCATATGCCAAACAAGTCAATACGTCACTACCACCTTGTCCAGCATCTCCCCAGATGGAAACACACCCGTTCCCTGAACCCCAGAGCCTTTGAAAGAACAGCCCCCTCCAAGCCAGTAGACCTGTTTCCAGCCCAGCCCCTACAGATGTCATGGAGAGGAGGAATCATTGGAAAGGCAGAGCTCACCTTCCTCATTACTACCAACAGGAACTGCTGACCAGCTGCGACCAATACAAAAATGCACAAGAGTTCTTGGAGTGGCTGCTTTCTCCAGAACAGCCAGCCTGCTTCCAGCCCATCTCCCACAGCCATCAGTTGGGGAAGCAAGTCCTGTAGAGAAGGGGACAGCCAGCTGCATTAAACTGCCAACCAGTTGCCACTCACAGGGCAGGCAAACCAGAGTAGCTGAAGAAGCAAAGCAATGTGAGGGAGAGACAGGAGGCAGACCAGCCTTCATTGTTCTTTGGGAGTCTTCTAACCACTCTGGGATGGATGTTTCTCACATCAAGTCTAAATGTCTCTTTTTGCAAAATGCATTCATTACTCTGATCTCTGGCCTCTGCCTAATCTGTTTGACAAGGGCCCACCCTATATACACCTGAAAAAAACTGTAGGTGATTATTCTGGCAAAGACTCAGGGCAGACACTACTAGAATACCTTCTGGTTAGTCTTCCTACCACAAGTCTCTGCCCACTGCAATCCATCCAGCATTCTGCTGCCAAAGTGATCTTCCTAACACACAAGTTTGACCTTGCCCCCCCTCTTCCCCCCACCACACTCAAGATATTACAGTGACTCCTTATCACCTCAAAGATCAAATATAAAATCCTCTGGCATTCAAGGCCCATCACAACCTGACCCCAGTCTCTGCCTTCTTCCTATGCTCTGCATTTTCCCTCCAGATAGTCTTTGATCCAGTGACACTGGACTCCTTGTAGGTCTTTGAACAAAACACTCTATCTCCCAACTCTGGCCATTTTCAAGGGCTGTCCCTCTTCTCTGCAACACTCTCCCTTCTCTCTGCCTCCTGGTTTCCTTGGCTTCTTTCAGGTCCCAGTTAGAATCCCACCTTCTAAAGAAGTCTTTCATGGACTCCTTAGCTCTGGGGCTTTGTTCTCTTGCTTATTTCCAATTTAGCCTGTATGTGGTTTGTTTGTACTTCAGATGTTTGTGAGGTCCTTAATCAAAGGAATTGTCTTTTGTTTTTCTTTTTGTTCCCAAATGCCTGGCACTTAGTGGCACTTTATAAATGTTTATTGACTGATTAACTGAGATATACTTTTTTTCATCCTCAGAATGCATGAATTTTAGCTTCTTTACCATCCTGTCCATCCTATGTGGATACTTTCCACTTTATTAATGTCTCTACTTATTGTACAACCCCTGTCTTAGTTGGCTCCCCCATCCCACACTGGTATTGCCAGGTATAGCTGCTAATACACTCAAGGTTCTAACACTAGTTGAAGAACCTTCTCTCCTGTGTTTCCCCTTCACAATCAGCCAGTAGACTTTGTTTGTTTGCAAAGGCATTTAAATTGTGAAGCAAGAACACTTTTTACAAAGCACTTACCCCAAAGCCATGGTTATGCACTTCAGGACCTGAAGCCTCCTACCCTTTCTATGTGGAATGTTTCTTATAGATCTGAAAGGCCTTCTCTTTTGCATTTCAGTATTTCTGAATTTGCCCTCTTGTACCCTTCAGTGCGCATTAGTTAAAGTCTAAACTGAGCACACTATTACAATATTACAAAAAAGGAATTATAATCTATGTACCAGACACTGTTCTTACTTCTTTTACAAATGTGCACTCATTTTATCCTCACAACAATCCTATGAGGTAAGTGATATTCTTCTTCCCATTTCATGACTAGGACAAACAGGTGAAGTCACTTGTTCAGCATGACACAGCTAGTAAGTCCCTGAGGCCATATTTGAGCACGGGTCTTCCTGACTCCAGGCCCAGTGCTCCAGAAGGATATCAAAGTCTCCTTTCACTGCTCTGTTACTGATGTGGATACAGCATACAGTACCCTAGGGGTTAAGGAGAATATTAAGGGTTGCTTTTCCAGTACTTTGTGAGGCATTTCCTGGGTGGGATTCATCCTGTAACTTGAGAGTATCCCAAAGTCCTTTTCCTTTTATCTTGAAATACCATAAAACTTCTCCTTATTTTATACCATAAAATTACCAAAAGAATTCATTTGTCTTCCTCATTCAGTATCATAAATTTCCCCCTGTCTTCCTTATCCTTTCCTTATCTTTAACCACCATAAAACGCTAAAACTACATCATCATCCTGAACATCTCTATGTAAGCTTAGCTCCCCCAAATACCGGTACCTTAATTATAGCCTTGCAGCTACAATACAGGTCTGTGTGCTTTCATGCTAATAAAGCTCCTGATGGCTAAAGAAGAACATCTAAGTGAATTCTGTCACATATGAACCACTCTCCTGAATCTGACCTCAACAAAATGGTGCAGAAAGCCGGGATCCAATAATTGTATTCCACTGACATTCTCCTAGCCACTGGAGTAAGAGGTAAGTACCCTTTTGTTTGTTCTCTTCCCCAGACCTTTCTGCTTCTACTGTCTCCCTGGCTTCAAGATGATTAGGCAATGACTTCCTAATTGTGAGATGGTGGGCATGTCATTTCTTCTTTCTAAAATTTTTTGCCCAACTGCTAAATGAGATAAGATTTGCATTCTCTGCCTCCATTGGCCATAGTGAGAAAAGTGACCTGTAATTGATAATGAGTTCTTTCCTGACTATTATTAATTACTTTGGGTAGCTAAATGGTACACTGGATAAATAGTAACTGGTTCTGGAGTCAGGAAGATCTGAGTTGAAATCTAGCCTCAGACACTCTCTGTGTGACCCAGGGCAAGTCACTTAACCTCCATTTCCTCATCTGTAAAATGATGATAATAATAGCACCTACTTCCCAGGTTTGTTGTGAGGATCAATTGAGATAATAATCATAACCTGCTTACTGGTACATAGCAAGCATTCTATCAACATTAATTATGATTTTTATTACTCTGAAGTATGTATTCAGTTTTAGACCTAATCTTATATTACTCAGAGAGAGTAATCATGTCCTCACTGGATCCCCACAGTAAAGGAACATATCTGGGGTCCCAAGACATCATTTCCAATCTCTAGTTCTTTGATTTCCTCAACTGACAAAGCATTGGTGAGATACTTGACCATTTAGGTTTCTTCAATTTGAAATTTCCTATGCTACTGAATTAAGAAACCAAAGCACAGTTATGCCTAGAGGGAGAATGACAGGGATTGTTGGGAGGGGGAAGGCAGTGGCTATAGGCAGTGACTGACTGGCAGATTGTTTCTCCACCCTGCTAGCTGACTGCTCAGCTCCCTCTACTCCCCAATGTGCTTGCACCTATATACTAACTATGCCCTACCACCAGCCCTGTCAAATGCCAAGAAAGGGAAGGCCCAGGCAACCAAAGTGAATCTCAGAGCCTCCTATCATGGCTCCTCCCTCAGAGATGTACTGAAGACCCATGTTCAGCTGCCAGTCCTGAGAGGGGTCACCAATGGCTATAGAACCCTCAGACTTTTGTGCCTCTGCCCCTAGAAGGCTGGGGAGAGGTGACAGAGCCCTACCCCGCCCATAACACCAAAATAGATCCTCTTATTTCTTCTTCACCTGCCCTGTGTCCCCATCTCCAGCCCCCACATCTGCCTTGGCTCAGGGAGAGAGCTGTCCAACAGCCTTTGGCCCTGGCCCAGGGATGCCTCCTCCCAGTGACCAAAAGAGGTGAAGAGCCCATGGGCAGACAGCGGCTACAATGCTCCTGCTGCCCTCCATCCCTTCTTTCCTGCTTCTTTGCTGCATTTACCAGTCAATTCTTGGAAACAAGAGGGGGCAAAAGGTGGAGGCCCTTCCCATGGTAGAAACTGGGAGTCCACCTCTGGGAACCAGGAGCCAGTCTTTCACAGGGAGATGGCCAGAGGCCCCAGGATGAGAGCCTGGAAGAAGTAGAGGGGAAGAGAAAAAGGGTGTCTGAGATGCACAGGGAGGAGGTGTGCTAGGCTGGTCTGTTTGGTTTTTTTTGCCTCCTCCAAGCCCCTCCACCCTCCGCTCTCCCCCCAGCTCTCTGACAGGACCAAGCATTCTCTCTCACCTGAGCACATGCATCTTCTTGGGCACAGTAACACAAATTTGCACACTGACTGACAGGGGGTTCAACAATCGTGCACATTGGGACAGTCTCTCACTCACCCTCCCATACTCACATGGAAACTGTCACACATACTTCTGGTTTCTTGTGCACATGACACAGAGATAAATATACATATATGGTCACACAGTCACAGATGCAGACACACACAGCCTCTTTTTATTTCTTTTCTGTTAGTGTTCACATGTATGCTTATTTGTAATGGGTAACCTGGCAAAAGTCCAAATGTCTTCTGAGTGGGGAATGGCCAAACAGATCATGGTCGCTTGGGAAGGTGGTGTGGGATAAAACCCTGGAATGCAGCAAGAACCTCAAAGGCCCTCAGAGGTCATCTAGACTAAACCCCTCATTTGACATAGGTGGACATGAGGCACTCCTAAGGCAGGGGAGGTGACTGGTGCTAAGTCACACAGCTATGGGAAGCTGGTGGTGCAGGGTCCCTGGAGTCAGGAAAACCCAAGGCCAAATCCTGTCCTAGACATTAACTTGTATGGCCCTAGGCAAGTCACTTAACATCTACAAATCTCAGTTTCCTCAACAGTAAAATGGAGAAAAGGGAGATAATAGCACCTTTCCTGCAAGGTTGTTGTGAAGGTCAAACAAGATAATATTTGTAGAAAGCACTTAGTCCTGTGTCTGGGAAACAGTGGATGCTATATAATTTCTTGTATATAATTGTATTAATTTCCTCACCTTCCTACCAAGTAAATCCAGGACTAGAACCTGAGTCTCTTTATCCCCAGTTCCTTGTACAGTTTTGTACATTGGGTACCCAGGTAACCCTGTGGATAGATTTGTAGATGTGGAGTCAGAGAGAAGTGAGTTCCAAATCTGGCTCCTGACACTTGGGTGTCTGACCCTGGGCAACTAACTTAAACTCTCTCAGCCTCAGTTTCCTTATCTGTGAAATGGGGTTAATAATAGCATCCTCTTCCCAAGGTTACTGTGAGTATAAAATGAGATAAATTATGTAAAACCCTTTGTTACATAAAAGCTAGCTAATATTCTTATGGTTCCAATTCTTCATGCAGTTGTTGAAACTCAACAAGATTTTGTTCTCTACTCCAAGATGCTCCCAGATAATTCTGCCATACAGGGAGTGGGCCCCAAGAGTGTGGAC